AAACAAATAAAAACACCTTACAAATAAAACCATCTTACAAATACATCACTAAAACAACCAGCGTGGCATCGGCAGGACCCCCTCCTGACAACGAGCCATACAAAAAAACTATAAAACTAAATATACATTCTAGATTTGAAGCTTTTCGTGACTGCAAGGATCCATACTCTTTGGTTCTATTCGGTAAAGTCACGTAGGTTAAAAAATAAAATAGCAAAAAAAATCACGACGTTTCGGCCACAACGCAAGCGGCCTTCATCAGGTGAAGGGACTGGCCTGTCCAGAGGACAGCGTTGGACAGGCCAGTCCCTTCACCTGATGAAGGCCGCTTGTGTTGTGGCCGAAACGTCGTGATTTTTTTTTATTTTTACCTACGTGACTTTACCGAATAGAACCAAAGAGTATAAATATATATATTTTTAAATTTTAGCAGGTAAAGCCCACCGAGCTATGTAGCTCTTTGTCAGAAGCGACCTGGGCCGTACGCAATATCCACGTGGCTCATCGCCACGTGGAAATAGCATTGCGTTCCCATGGTCTTCAACGCGTGGACGTTGGTTCTAAATGTGGAGGGAGAAGAAAAAAAATCCACGCGACCATGGGGAGAGAGAGAGACACCGCCGCAAGCACCAAATATTACGGGCGTTAAGGTCGAGCCCACGACCTCCTGTATACCTGGCGTGGAAGTTAACATCTCGCCAGTACAACATCATGCATATGGATGACATTGGAAGGGGCAGCTCCCAATCCACAACTCGTGGTGTCCAACGGTCGAATACGATTGGAGTCCTGCACTGTACACACACACACATATATATAAAAACATTTCGAGGCAGCGCAAATTTGACATCCGATTATTCCATCGCAAAAACCAACATCGCAGAATGATCGAATTACAGCTCCACGGGGTTGACCCTCTTCGAACCTTGACCCACGACGCTCGGTGGGTCAAAGTAAGTCGGCGTTGGAGAAAAAAGATCCCCCGAAGACGAAGAACGTTCAACCACTTTTTATTTTTGGGGTGGTTTCGTTTTTTTTTACGGCGGCGGCTACGTTTTTGGTTTTTGACCGCGAGTGCGACGCTAAAGCCGACACAAAGCTGCCGGAGCCTCCGGTGTCAGCAACGCTGCAACGAGCGGTCGCGGGATGGGGCTGGCAACCCCCCCCCCCCTCCCACCCTTATAATGTAAAGCTACGGCGCTGCCACAGTTAATACATATTATATTGATAATTATTAATGATTCGTTTTGATAGGCTGTGTGTAACGATGGGTTGGCGACGTGGATTTAAAAAAAAATAATCATGATATACAGATGATTTTTTTTTTGTTTTGCTGAAATAAACGTCATACAACCTTTACATTTTTAAAAAAAATTTCGTTACATTTATTATTTTAGTATCGCGTCATATGACGCGCAATTATAATAGTTAACAATAATAATGATCATCTATGCAACGAGTTTCCTGGCTGGTTGCCGGCTGGGATCCTCTTGACTACCACCACCATCATCATCCCAACAACGATAACTATGTTTAACACGTAGTTGGGCGTTCTCGACCAATATCATCATCCATAATACGGCGGGGGGGGGGGGGGGGGGGGTTGGGTTAAATCGCGTAAATATATAAATGTGTCGTTAAACCCGCCACCACCCGACACAGCCAATTAGTAAGGTTTGTCACGTAAACAAACATGCCAATTCGTTACTGGTACAGCAACACCGCAACACCGGTATTGCTGTGCTAGCAACGAATTGGCACGTCTGTGCACGTGACAAACCTTACCAATTGTCTCTGTCGGGTGGCGGCAGGTTTAACGACACATTTTGTATTTAAAGCGATCTAACACCAAAAAAAACTTGCATTGTGGGTAATATTGATCGCGACGGCCTACACGTGAAACAAACAACGCCTTCTCTAAATAATTACATGATTAAGGTGCTAACTCGCCAAGCGGGTAACTGCAGGGTAAATGTTTATTGCCTTTTGTTATACGAACTGCATCGACCGCGTTTGTCTCCAACATACAAAGAACAAAGGTAAATGTTTTGTTTTATTCCATCGACCGATTGACTCTTCATGACCAATATTATTGACTCTTTATGACCAATTTATTGAACAGAGATTAACGACCTGTAGACGTAGAGACGATTAAACGGAGTTCTGCGTGTACTGCATATACTGTGCAATATCCCAGCAATACCTTATCGTTTTGCTTTTCACACACGTTATTTTACTTAGTGACACTCTGCGGTTCGTTAAGGGGTTTGTATGGTTACTTAAATAGCCACTGTTGGCATAGCTATACTGCTACTGAATTCATCATATGGCCAATTTATTGACGAAAACCTGATCATCAGAAAAAAAAACACGTGTTCCCATGTAATTGTGGAGTGTCCAACTCCTATTGTTCCACGACGTCTCTCGAGTAACCTCTCTATTTACGCGCTAAGAAGAAGGGCCATTGCTCGAAACGTCGCCTATTTACTTTTTTTTAAGGCCACGCACAGTGCTGCTGCTGCTGCTGTTGTTGTTATTGACGAGTGCGTGGAGTGAATTTGTTGATGTCAATTGTTCTTGTGTACCCACTGCCAACGCAGCAGCAGCAGCAGCATCGCCACAGTAATCTACTCACATGTTCTGTTTGCACGTAATTGTTGCCCGACAATAGCGCGTACATAATGATGATGCTGTTTCATACCACTTCGTTCGTGTTCGGTTGAGTGGAGGGAATTGGTGAGACGGGCGAATGGATGGCGAGTTTAAGGAGCGCGTGTGTGAGTTTGTGCCAGTGTGCGTGTTCGCGCGCCGTAGTTTCATTAAGTTGTCAAAATAGTTGTGTCGACCAACGCTCGTGCGCGTGTGTATCTCTTTCTTCGTGAGTACCCGGTGCGGTGTAGTAAACATCGCCACAAGGGAGACAAAGGCGGCCGGGCGTGGTGCGGGCCACCCACCCCTCTCGCGTGCCCTGCGGCCTTCATTGGTGCTACAATACTTGCCCCAACAGTCTGTTCAGGCTATACGGGGGGAGCTTTGTCTTTGTTTTGGGGAGCGGTGGCCCAGCGGTTAGCGCACTGCGCTCCGAACCCGGCGACCCGAGTTCGATTCCCGCTCACAGCCACCAACACCAATGACGATTATCTGAACCGACCCAGTGCCTCTCCCCTAGGTTGACTCAGCCTCAAATGAGTACGGTGTGTTAAAAACACGAGCCCTGGGGGATACAAATGCGGCCGGGCGTGGTGCTGGCCAAATCACCTCCCCCTCCCCCGCCGCAGCCTCGTGTGCCGTGCCGGCCTTCGTAAGTGCTACTCGCTAACAGCACTTGGCCCAACAGTCTGTGAAGGATTATACGGGGGACCTTTGTCTTTGCGACCCCCAACGTCCTCCTCTTAGCCCCGCCTCTCTAATTATGTGGCCCCGCCCCTCCTTGATTTATCAGCCCCTCCCCTCGATCCCTATAGCCCCGCAGTTTCCGGTGGGGCAGACGCCGATAATCGAATCGTGTTACACACAGAGATGACCCTCCACCTACACACTGACGAATGACGACAACAACAACAACAAAGACATTGCTCCGACACATTCGTCAACAACGCGGTGGCTAAGAGATGTTAACTCTCTCGCCTGTGACACAGGAGGTTCGTGGGTTCGATCCAGACCTTGACGCATGCTCTATATTTGGAGTTTTGCGTGTTCTCCCCGTGGTCGCGTGGTTTTTCCTCCGAGTCTTCCGGTTTTTCAACTCAACATTGAGAAAGATGCGTTTTAAGAGTATTTGTCTGCTGTATAATAATTTCAACATGATAAGCCACTTCCTTGAGCTACCATATGTGGCCAGGTCGCTTCTGAAAATGGGCTACATAGCTCAGTGGGCCTTACCTGCTCAAATAATAATAGTTTAACAACGCTGCCGCTTTAAACTGACAAATACATGACAACATAGGTGACGTGGGTTTTCTTCATAGCACGTAAAATGTGCGAGGGATAAGGGTCCTTGCCCGAAACGTCCCTTATTACATATTCATTTTTAAGTAAGGCCACGCGGACCTATTATATTCTTGCGTGTCAGGAGGAATCTGATGAGCTATTAAGCTCTCTTTCCACAGATGTCCAGTAGACAGCATCAGGAGTCTGCTGCTGCTGCTCGCCATGATGAGATAGCTTCAGCAGATAGACAGAGACAGAGAGAGAGTTTGCGTCGTTGTGCCGTTCCTCCTCCTCCGTTGAAGCAGCACAGACCGCAGTGGCTATTTTACTCTGTGATCCATATATTGTTGTTATTGACGAACTTTTTAAAAAAAAATCTTATTGTATTTTTGTACAGCTAAGGCGCCCCCTATATAATAAAAGCTTCGATGGCAAGGGTCGTGCAAAAGGGCCGAGGACTCATGGCGAGGAGGTGATGGGTCACAAAGGGCTATAGGGGAGGGATGGGACGGAGTGGGGGAGGCGAGGGCAGGGATGAGAATGGGCGATGGAGAAAGAGGTGACCCTTGAGAGAGGAACGACGGGAGGACGACTCTGCACCACTGCCAAAGCAGCCACAGCAGCGGCAGCAGAATCAGACGTGGCAGCAGCAATCCGTCGACAACACAACTGACCCTGCACAAACGAGACCGTCTTCATATCTTGAGTACTCTCATGACCCTTGGGCTACACCCATTTCAAACCTTTTAAAACAGTCTCAGTCTGCCTCAGCAGCAGACCACGCTTTCCCACCTGATGATGGACGCTTGCGTTGCGCCCGAAACGTCGTGATTTTTTCATTTTTATTTTATTTTCCACCTACGTGACTTTACCGAAAGAACCAAAGAGTATGGATTCCTGCAGCAGTCACGAAAGCTTCAAATCGAGATTACTCCACGGGAGGTGACACAAAACAAGCTGAACCTTGGAACTGTCTCTCTGCCCCCCCCCCCCCCTTTTCCTCAATTCGCTGCCCCTTACCCCACCCCCTCCTCCTTAACCCCCTCCCCCCACCCCTCCTTACCCCACAGGAGGTTCGGAACGAAATGCGCCGGCTGCCTGCAGGGCATCTCGCCGAGCGACCTGGTGCGGCGAGCCCGCGGCTCCGTCTTCCACCTCAACTGCTTCACGTGCCTCGTGTGCCGCAAGCAGCTGTCCACGGGCGAGGAGCTCTACGTGCTCGACGAGAGCAAGTTCGTGTGCAAGGAGGACTACCTGAGTAGTAGCGGACTCAAGGACACGGGCGCGAACTCGGGTGAGAGGCCGGCGGGGTGGCGGCAGCGGCGGCACGCTAGGCAAAGCAGTCGCGGTTGGCGCGCTGCACTTCGAACCCGAGTTCGATGGCCGCCCACGGCCACCGACGGCAGCGGCAATTGTCTAAACCGGTGCTGCTGGGCCTCCCCTAGATCGACTCGGCCTAAAACGGGTACCCGGCGCGGTGTTTGAACATCGCCACTTGGGAGGCAAAGGCGGCCGGGCGTGGTAGCTGGCCACCCACGCCCTCGTGTGCCGTGCCGGCCTTCGTAGGCGCTCGCTAACAGCACTTTGCCCCAAGAGTCCGTGAAGGCTATGCGGGGGATCTTTGTCTTTGGTGGCGGCAGGGGATGGTGAGTGCAGGGAAGGAGAGGCGCGCCGTTGTGGCGGTTCGCATATCGGTGGTTGGAGGTCGTGGCGGAGATGTTGGTCACAATGAAGATCACTTTTGACAACGGTAGTCGCCGTTGTGGTCGTTGTGGTGGTGCGTGGGTGTTTGTGTCTGTCTGTGAGTTTGTCACACGACGTGCATGCCGTCGTGCGTACTGTGTAGGTCATTGTGTGTAGATGGGAGTGTTCGTGGTGGTTTGTGGTGGTTGTGGCGGTGGCTGTCAGCGAGCAGCACCTACGAAGGCCGGCACGGCACAGCAAGAGGGGGTGTGTGGTCAGCGCCACGCCCGGCCGCCTTTGTCACCCAAAGCGCTGATCTCTACAGGCCGCACCACCCACGCACTAATTTACCACCGAGTCGACCTAGGGGAGAGGCGCGGAGCCAGTTACAAAAATTTCGCCACCGTGCACGCTGGGGGAGGGCGGGGGGGTGGGGGGTGTCCGTCACTCAGCGCGGCGCTCACCGCTGCGCCACCGCTCCATTTCTCCCCCCTCCCCTCCCTCCGCCACACAGTGACCACGTGCAGCGACCGCAGCATGTCGCCCGACCTGCAGGAGCAGGGCGTCGACGAGGCGAAGGAGGGGGACCAGTCGGCGTCGTCCGACAAGGAGGCGGGCGCCGGCGAGGCGGAGGAGCAGAGCCTCGGCGCCAAGCGGCGCGGCCCCCGCACCACCATCAAGGCCAAGCAGCTGGAGACCCTCAAGGCGGCGTTCGCGGCCACCCCGAAGCCCACGCGGCACATCCGCGAGCAGCTGGCGCAGGAGACCGGCCTCAACATGCGCGTCATACAGGTAGCCTGCTGCTGCTGCTACCTCCTGCTGCTGCTAGAGATTGTGTCTCAACATGTGCATCATACAGGTAGCCTGCTGCTGCTACCTCCTGCTGCTGCTGCTAGAGATTGTCTCAACATGTGCGTCATACAGGTAGCCTGCTGCTACCTCCTGCTGCTGCTAGAGATTGTGTCTCAACATGCGTGTCATACCGGTAGCCTGCTCCTCCTGCTGCTGCTACTAGAGATTGCGTCTCAACATGCGCGTCATACAGGTAGCCTGCTGCTACCTCCTGCTACTGCTAGAGATTGCGTCTCAACATGTGCGTCATACAGGTAGCCTGCTGCTACCTCCTGCTACTGCTAGAGATTGCGTCTCAACATGCGCGCCATACAGGTAGCCTGCTGCTACCTCCTGCTGCTGCTAGAGATTGCGTCTCAACATGTGCGTCATACAGGTAGCCTGCTGCTACCTCCTGCTGCTGCTAGAGATTGTCTCAACATGTGCGTCATATAGGTAGCCTGCTCCTGCTCCTCCTGCTGCTGCTAGAGATTGCGTCTCAACATGTGCGTCATACAGGTAGCCTGCTGCTCCTCCTGCTGCTGCTAGAGATTGTCTCAACATGTGCGTCATACAGGTAGCCTGCTGCTACCTCCTGCTGCTGCTAGAGATTGTCTCAACATGCACGTCATACAGGTAGCCTGCTGCTACCTCCTGCTGCTGCTAGAGATTGTCTCAACATGCGCGTCATACAGGTAGCCTGCTGCTACCTCCTGCTGCTAGAGATAGCGTCTCAACATGTGCGTCATACAGGTAGCCTGCTGCTATCTCCTGCTGCTGCTAGAGATAGCGTCTCAACATGCGCGTCATACAGGTAGCCTGCTGCTACCTCCTGCTGCTGCTAGAGATTGCGTCTCAACATGTGCGTCATACAGGTAGCCTGCTGCTACCTCCTGCTGCTGCTAGAGATTGTCTCAACATGTGCGTCATATAGGTAGCCTGCTCCTGCTCCTCCTGCTGCTGCTAGAGATTGCGTCTCAACATGTGCGTCATACAGGTTGCCTGCTGCTCCTCCTGCTGCTGCTAGAGATTGTCTCAACATGTGCGTCATACAGGTAGCCTGCTGCTACCTCCTGCTGCTGCTAGAGATTGTCTCAACATGCACGTCATACAGGTAGCCTGCTGCTACCTCCTGCTGCTAGAGATAGCGTCTCAACATGCGCGTCATACAGGTAGCCTGCTGCTACCTCCTGCTGCTGCTAGAGATAGCGTCTCAACATGCGCGTCATACAGGTAGCCTGCTGCTACCTCCTGCTGCTGCTAGAGATTGTGTCTCAACATGCGCATCATACAGGTAGCCTGCTGCTACCTCCTGCTGCTGCTAGAAATAGCGTCTCAACATGCGCGTCATACCGGTAGCCTGCTGCTGATGTGGTACTAGCATGGTCCGGGGAGGCATACAGGTTCTACTGCTGCTGCAGCTAAAGGGAGTACAGTACTGGCCTGGGGGCAGGTGGAGAGCGACAGACAGCTAGAGGACTCGTACAGCACGAGAGTGAGGGAGCGCACAGGTGTGTGTGCGTTGGGTCACACAGGTAATGGTACCTGGGCTACTGTGGTGTGCACGCGTGTGTGTGTGCGTTGGGTCACACGTGTACTATGGGTGGGGGGGGGGGGCACTCAGCACTACCCCCCCCTAACCGTGACCCCTACAGCACCTGGCAAGCCCTGGGGTGGTGGCGGCGTGGTCAAAAGTCCAAGTTCTCACCAGGTTCACGGCTGCTTAGCGAGGTCTGGCGAGTTTGTTAGGTGTGAGAGTGGATTGCTTGCAGTATAATAGAATATAAACCCTTGTTAACGACCACCCCTGTTAACGACTAATCACTTTACGCCCAATGTGCCGTGTGTAGTGTAGTGTATAGTAGTGTAATGTATATTAGTGTATAGTGTAGTGTATAGTAGTGTATAGTGTAGTTTATAGTAGTGTACAGTGAGGGAAAAAAGTATTTGATCCCCTGCTGATTTTGTACGTTTTCCCACTGCCAAAGAAATGATCAGTCTATAATTTGAATGGTAGGTTTATTTGAACAGTGAGAGACAGACTAACAACAACAAAATCCAGAAAAACGCATGTCAAAAATGATTTGCATTTTAATGAGAGAAATAAGTATTTGACCCCTCTGCAAAACATGACTTAGTACTTGGTGGCAAACCCCTTGTTGGCAATCACAGAGGTCAGACGTTTCTTGTAGTTGGCCACTAGGTTTGCACACATCTCAGGAGGGATTTTGTCCCACTCCTTTTTGCAGATCTTCTCCAAGTCATTAAGGTTTCGAGGCTGACGTTTGGCAACTCGAACCTTCAGCTCCCTCCACAGATTTTCTATGGGATTAAGGTCTGGAAACTGGCTAGGCCACTCCAGGACCTTAATGTGCTTCTTCTTGAGCCAATCCTTTGTTGCCTTGGCCGTGTGTTTTGGGTCATTGTCATGCTGGAATACCCATCCACGACCCATTTTCAGTGCCCTGGCTGAGGGAAGGAGGTTCTCACCCAAGATTTGATGGTACATGGCCCCGCCCATCGTCCCTTTGATGCGGTGAAGTTGTCCTGTCCCCTTAGCAGAAAAACACCCCCAAAGCATAATGTTTCCACCTCCATTTTTGACGGTGGGGATGGTGTTCTTGGGGTCATAGGCAGCATTCCTCCTCCTCCAAACACGGCGAGTTGAGTTGATGCCAAAGAGCTCCATTTTGGTCTCATCTGACCACAACACTTTCACCCAGTTGTCCTCTGAATAATTCAGATGTTCATTGGCAAACTTTAGACGGGCATGTATATGTGCATTCTTGAGCAGAGGGACCTTGCGGGCGCTGCAGGATTTCAGTCCTTCACGGCGTAGTGTGTTACCAATTGTTTTCTTGGTGACTATGGTCCCAGCTGCCTTAAGATCATTGACAAGATCCTCCCGTGTAGTCCTGGGCTGATTCCTCACCGTTCTCATGATCATTGCAACTCCACGAGGTGAGATTTTGCATGGAGCCCCAGGCCGAGGGAGATTGACAGTTATTTTATGTTTCTTCCATTTGCGAATAATCGCACCAACTGTTGTCACCTTCTCACCAAGCTGCTTGGCAATGGTCTTGTAGCCCATTCCAGCCTTGTGTAGGTCTACAATCTTGTCCCTGACATCCTTGGAGAGCTCTTTGGTCTTAGCCATGGTGGAGAGTTTGGAATCTGATTGATTGATTGCTTCTGTGGACAGGTGTCTTTTATACAGGTAACGAGCTGAGATTAGGAGCACACTCTTAAAGGGAGTCCTCCTAATCTCAGCTTGTTACCTGTATAAAAGACACCTGGGAGCCAGAAATCTTTCTGATTGAAAGAGGGTCAAATACTTATTTCCCTCATTAAAATGCAAATCAATTTATCAAATTTTTGACATGCGTTTTTCTGGATTTTTGTTGATATTCTGTCTCTCACTGTTCAAATAAACCTACCATTAAAATTATAGACTGAACATTTCTTTGTCAGTGGGCAAACGTACAAAATCAGCAGGGGATCAAATCATTTTTCCTCACTGTATAGTAGTGTAGTGGAACGTAATGTAGTGTATAGTAGTGTCGTGTCTAGTAGTGTAGAGTAGTGTAGTGTCTCCATAGAGCCCAATGTGTTCGCTCACCGAACATTCCCCTGTTAACGATGGGCGGTTATAGGTATGAATTAACGCATTGATTAACCATGTTTATTTTAATAGTGTGTGTTTATCGTGTTGTTTGGTATCTGTATGCATTGATATCCATTGTTTAAACATGATAAAGTGCGTTTTTGGGGTAAAAAGGGGCCACTTTCGATGCTATCGGAACGAATTTACTTGGTTCTTTCGGTAAAGTCACGTAGATGGAAAAATAAAAGTAAATACAATAAAAACTACGACGTTTCGATGTTGTGAGCGTGTACAGTATGTCCTATACTCGCTGAACGACCCAATCACTGAACCAATTGGGGGGGTTCTCCTGTACTGTCTATACTTGATGTGTTTTACACATTCACGAAACTATAACACATTGTCACCTCTAAACATTCAAACATTCAGATAAATACTGTGTATGCGCATGCATTTGTACGCGCAGCACTGTGCAGATGCTTGAGCAAACATCCCAATTAACACAGACACTTGTGTTGGCGGATTGCGATTGAAGCACACACAATCAGTCACCCTGCATCAAAGGAAGTGTCCCATTGTTTGGCGTTTATTATCAGAGTGTAGCTCGACACGCACACGCGCGCAGACGCAGACACGCGCACACACAACAAAGATCCCCCGTGTAGCCTTAACAGACTGTAGGAGCAAGTGCTGTTAGCGAGCACCGATGAAGGCCGGTGGGTGGCCAATACCACGCCCGGCCGCCTTTGTCTCCCCAGTGGCGATGTTTACACATCACTGCACCGGGATACTCATTTGGGGCTGAGTCGACCTAGGGTAGACGTAGGACCGGTTTTGATAATCGTCACGTGGTGTTGGCCGCGAGCGGGAATCGAACTCGGGTCGCCGGGTTCGTAGCGCAGCGTAGCGCTAACCACTGCACTACCGCTCCCCACCCCCCACACACACGCGCGCCGACACACACACACGTGATTAAGAATAATTGCCTCTCAAAATCTAATAGACTTCAAGCAATGACAATCACTTACTCGAATCGTCTGCGATCATTATGCCACTCGGAGTGCGGTCCCCGCCTCTCCCTTCATAACTCTTCAACTCAAGGGCGGGGGCTCTCCGTAATTTTACTCGCGACCTCAAAGACCGCTCTGTGTAAACCGACCCGTGTGTTTTGACGCAGCCTTTGCTTTTATTCATTTTAAAAACAAACAAACACGCAAAAAGACAAAGGTCCCCCGTATAGCCTGGACAGACTGTAGGGGCAAGTGCTGTTAGCGAGTAGTGCCTATGAAGGGCGGTGGGTGGCCAGCACCACGCCCGGCCGCCTTTGTCTCCCCAGTGACGATGTTTGGACACCGCATCAGGTACTCATTTTAGGCTGAGTCGACCTAGGGGAGGCCCAGGACCGGTTCAGATAATTCACTGTGTAACAACATTTTTGTTTTGTTCCTGGATAGTAAGTGTTATTTCCTAATTGTTTATGCCTCAAAAGTATAGAAAATGGCTATTATTCCCCACACACTTTGCTTTTGTGATGAGGACATTGATATTTTGAAACTTACCTATTTTCAATGAGAAAACGTGGTGTGCGTTTGTGTCCTTCCTTCACGTAAAGTCCTGGTCACAAAAGCAAAGTTTGTGGGGAATAATAGCACCATTTTCTATACTTTGAGGTGTAAGCAATTAGGAAATAACACTACCCAGGAACAAAAAATCGTGTTACATTACATAGTGATATAGAATCGTCACTGGTGTTGGCCGTGAGCGGGAAGGGTGTCCCAGGTTCGTAGCGCAGCGCGCTAACGGCTACACCAACCACTCAACTCATTCGTCAACAACACTGCTGTGTGGCATTTGATTTGTTTTAAAGAATATATATTTATAATAGGTGACGTTTCAGGCAATGGCCCTTCTAACAACATTATTGCTTTTATGTGCCACGCCGTTTTACGTGCAATGGAAGGCCCATTACCCTGAAACGTGGGGCTTTCCCTTATTTGATTATATAAACGATTGTTTGCTGTTGGTAACTGTTCTTTTGCGCCAAAGCCAACGTAGCAGCAGCAGCAGCGGCAGCGGCAACATGAAAATGTCGGTTTGTTTTGTAATTCAATCTCCGCTTATTTATTCATTCATATCAAGCAGGTGGAAAGACAACGGTCTAGCACGCGCCGAAACATTCAATAGGAAAAAAAACAAGTACAGTAATACAAAAACGAGGAATGCAATAAACCAAGTTTAGTCCGCACATCGTGACGCCGTCCGGACAACAGTTCCTCTCAATCGATGTGGTGGGGGGGGGGGGGGTGAAGTCGCTGGCTGGCGGGGATCTTGCTTTAAAAAGCAAAATGCTTGGACTGGCTTCGCCTACCGCGAGTGTCATCAGCACGGCGTGGCCCGTTCCTACCGCTCACTGCCACGTGTCTTGTTCGTTTGTTCGTTTTTCCCCCTCGTAGGCTGCGACTCTGTCACCGCCCGAGCGTGTTCACTGAGCTCACTTAAAGTCACGGCCCACCTACGGTCGTTTTATTTTCAGCCAGTAAAGTGCTCCCCCACCCCCATCAGCATCCCTGCCCCCCCCCTTGTTTAGGGGGCATAGGGGGAGGACGTTGATGATAGGGGGGTGAGGGGGGGGGGCGCCACTGACAAAGGAGTTCTCTTCTCCTATCAGTCACAATAACCATACCGACCGCGCGCCTGGCCCCGTGTAGGTTTGGTTCCAGAACCGGCGCTCCAAGGAGCGGCGGATGAAGCAGCTGAGCGCCCTCGGGGCGCGCCGCCACGCGTTCTTCAGGAACCCGAGACGCATGCGCACCCTGGGAGGTCGCCTCGACGAGGCGGAGATGATGGCGAGCGGACCCTTCAACTACTACGGCGGTACGTGGGGGGGGGGGGGGGGGGGGGTTCGGTGAGACACGGGGGAGGGGTTCGGGCATGGAGACACAGAGGGGACACGGGGGTTTGAGCGGCATTGAGAGAGTCAGGATACTGGGAAATGGTAACACGGGGACATGTGGTCATGGGGATGGGGGGAAGAATGGAACAAGGGGATATGGAGACGCAGGGATATGGAAGCAGATGGGGAAGTGGGCATCGGGACAGGGGGGGGGGGGGCTAGGGGGGTAGAGGGGGGAGGGGGCATGGGAGAATTGGCGGCACCCGGGGACATGGGGGGGGGGGGGGCATGAGGATATGGAGAAACGGGGACGTTGGGTCATGGGGGGTACAGGGTGTTTGGATCGATGTTGGAATATGAAGAAATGGGGACATTGATGGAAAGACACAGGGATATGGATGTATGTTGACACAAAGGCGCAGAGACACGGGGTACATGGCGCATGAGTGGGCAGAGGGGAGAATGGGGCCGTGGAGACACGGGCGACGAGTGACTCAGAAGCGGAGGCGATGGGGCGATGGGGCGATGGGGCGATGGGGCGATGGGCGATGGGGCGATGGGCGATGGGGCGATGGGGCGGCTTTGGTGTGCGGTGGGGTTGGTGCGACGTTTTAGAATCACGGTGGGAAGAGTGTGCGTGTGCGTGTGTGCGTGTGTGTGTGCGTGTGTGTGTGTGCGTGTGTGTGTGTGTGCGTGCGTGTGTGTGCGTGTGTGTGTGTGTGCGTGTGTGTGTGTGCGTGTGTGTGTGTGTGTGCGTGTGTGTGTGTGCGTGTGTGTGTGTGTGAGTGTGTGCGTGTGCGTGTGTGCGTGTGTGTGTGCGTGTGTGTGTGTGCGTGTGTGTGTGTGTGCGTGTGTGTGTGTGCGTGTGTGTGTGTGTGCGTGTGTGTGTGTGTGCGTGTGTGTGTGTGCGTGTGTGTGTGTGTGCGTGTGTGCGTGTGTGCGTGTGTGCGTGTGCGTGTGTGTGCGTGTGCGCGTGTGCGTGTGTGCGTGTGCGTGTGTGTACTCTCATTCAGCCTCGCACGCCGTGAGAGCGAGTGCGGTTAGCGAGTACCTATTAAGACCGGCATGGACACAACAAGCAGGGAGGGGGGTGATCGAAACCACACCCGGCCGCCTTTGTCTCTCCGCGGCAGCGCCTATGCGTTTACACGGCGGACTCGTGTCACTCATTTAAAACAGCGAGCGGACCTAGGGGAGGCCCAACACGGGAGCAGGTACGGGGTTGAGTTATTAACTCGATTCGCCGGGTTTCGTAGCGGAGTGCGCTAACCACTGCGCCCCCACCCCCCTCCCCCCACGTCTCCGTCCCCACTTCCCCCCACACACGCGCGCGCTCAAACCTCAAATCCACCCACTCACTCAACCAAACCTCTCCCCTCCCTGCCTGAACACAGCCCCCCACCACCCACCACCACCACCCCCCCCCCCATACACAAACCCGCTCGTATGAATGGGCCGCGCTGTGTTGTGTTGCCCGCAGTCTGTGTGTCGGGAGGGGGTTGGAGTGGAGGGTTAGAGGGGTAGAAGTGGGGGGGGGGGGTAGCAGAGGGGGGTAAGAAGCGGGGAGGGGGGGGGGTGTAGCCGGGCCCTCGGTGGCCGTGATAATATCCGGACAAAGCCGCATCTGCGGCCCCTTTTTGTCGCACATTCGGCGTCGGATTTGTTCCAATTACGCGCGACACTTCAAAAGCAGTGGAGGTCAGTGTTCCCTCCCCCTCTAAGCTCCCCCTTCCACCCCCCCCCCTCTCCCCACATTGCCCCCTCCTCCCCTCCCTCCCTTCCCCACCTCTCCACCCCCCACCCTCACTCACCCTACACCCACCCTTCCCAAATCCCAACTCTCTCCTTCTTCCAAACCCACTCCCTCCCATCGTCCCCCCCCCCTCTCTCTCTCTGTCTCTCTGTGTACAATAATTATATAATTAACAGCGCTTTGTCGATCTACTGCTGGATGAAGACAGTCCCCGTGCCTGGCCTCGTGTTGACCCTCGGGGTTGTTTTGAGCGTACTTCACCAGGCTGGGCAATGCGGGTTGGTGACCAGCAGCAGGACAGGTAGCGCTCGTGACTGATGGTAGCCGTGGCCGGGGAATCGACCTCGGTTTTACCAAATGTACTGACCACTGCGCCACCACTCGTTTGCCAATCGCCTCGTGGAATTCACGGCAGCGGGACCCTCGCGAAATTGAGTCTCGAGACTCGGTGAGGCTTTGTAGGGACGTCGATGCCTCGCGGGCCGATGTCAGACGCGAGTCTGATTTTTCTTCTTTCGCGTGAAACCCTAAATAATGACGGGAATAATGATAATAATAATTTAACAAAAAATGTTTCAGATGAAACACCACGAGGCTTTGCAGTTACGTCGAAGCGCGTCAAAATGGCGCTATTGTGACGTCATCGCGGACGTCGTTGAAGGGCGGGGCATCGTAGATGTCACACTGTAACGTGGCCTTCCAATACAAATGAATATATATAATCGGCGACGTTTCAGGCAATGGCCCTTCTTAGCACAGAAACAAATGTTTTATTTGTTTACTCTTAAGGCCACGGTGTTGTTATTGACGAGTGTGTTGAGTTGTTGTTGTTGCTGTTAATTGTGCCAACGCAGCAACCAACAAAATTTGTTCAATTATGTATCGATGTAGGAGCTTAGAGGTTGAGTACAACAATGAGATTGTCCTTGCACCGCCCACAGCGTAGCCCCCGCAGCCTCTAACACCTGTTAAGCACGGTGCTCGACTTGTCCTCGTACGACACAGGCCAAGCCCTGCTTAGCTTACTCTCTGGTTCTTTCGGTAAAGTCGCGTAGGTAAAAATAAAAAAATAAAAAATAATCAAATCACGACGTTTCGGAGGCAACACAAGCATCCGTCATCAGGTGCAACTATTTTGCCTTGCTAGTTGCACCTGATGACGGATGCTTGTGTTGCCTCCGAAACGTCGTGATTTGATTAACTTTATTTGTGTATTTTTACCCACGTGACTTCACTGAAAGAACCAGAGAGTATGGATCATTGCAGTCACGAAAACTTCAAATCTACCACTTAGCTTGTTTGTTTTCGTACCTTCCACCCTGCAGTGCCCCTGTGACTTGGGGGCTGTGATCTATGCGTCTCTATGTGTCTCTAGATCGCTACGCAGCTCTATGGGTCTCTGTCTAACTCTATAGATCTCCAGGCGACTTTATGGGTCTCTGTGTAACTCTGCGAGTCTCTAGGTGACTCTATGGAACTCTATGAGTCGATATGTGACCACGATGTCCTGTCACTGCCGTTAATGCTGACGACTCTGGACTTTGGTCTATGGGTCTCGATGTAACTCCATGAATCTCTGCGTCACTATGATTAATTATCTGTGTAACTCTGTCGATCTCTATGCAGCTATATCGGTCTCTATGTAACGTCTATGCCTCTGTATGTAAATGAATGGAAGGCCCATGGCCGGTTCAGATGGTTCGTCACCGATGTTGGCTCGGGTGAGCAGGAATCGAACTCGGGTCGCCTTGTTCGGAGCGCAGTGCGCTAACCGCTGGGCCACAGATCCCCGCACTCACCACCACCAACAACACCACCAACAACACCATCATCACCACCACCAACAACACCATCATCACCACCACCAACAACACCATCATCACCACCAACAACAACACCATCATCACCACCACCACTGCTACCAAAGACAAAGATCTCCCGTAAAGGCTGAACAGACTAATGGGGGAAGTGCTGTTAGCGAACACCTACGAACGCCGGCACGGCACACGAGGGTGTGTGGCCAACACCACGCCCGGACGCCTTTGTATCCCCAGTGGCGATGTTTAAATACCACACCAGGTACACATTTGAGGCTGAGGCCACCTAGGGGAAGCCCATGACCATCACCACTACCACCATCGCCACCACCAACCACCACCACGTCCATCACCATCATCTTCGCATAATTGGAACCCCCTGTGAATGTAGCCATAGCTTTTGAGACTCAACCGCTGCTCATTATATCACGAGGGGGGGGGGGGCGGGGTTCTGTTTGGGCGGTGGTGGGAGGGGGGGAGCGATTGGAGGTGGTTGGGCGGTGGATGGGTGGGAGGGGAGGGGGGGCGTCCCGAAACATGTTGGGTGATTATGCGTTTCTGGCCCCAATTTGGGTTCAAAGATACTTTGAGGGGTAGCGAAGTGGGGGTCCGTGTGTGCGTGTGTGCTTGTGCGTCCGTGTTTGTGTGTGCGTGTGTGCGGTAGTGTAGCGGTGAGCGCGCTGCGCTACGAATCCGGCGAGCCGGGTTCAATTCCCGCTCACGGCCAACGCCAACGACGATTCGCTGAACCGGTCCTGGGCCTCCCCTAGGTCAACTCAGCCTCAACATAGTACCTGGTGCGGTGTGTAAAAACATCGCCACTGGGGAGACAAAGGCGGCCGTGCGTGGTGTTGGCCACCCACCACCATGCATACCGTGCCGGCCTTCATAGGTGCCAGCTAACAGCACTTGCCCCACAAGTCTTTTGAGGCTATACGGGGGGCGGGGGTCTTTGTCTTTGTCGTGTGTGTGGGATTTTCTGGGTGAGAGGAGGGATCTGCATCGCTCCGTCCGGGGTTATTTCGCGAAACGGAGCCGCCAGGCGCAGGGCCTAATCCCACGTCGGGTTTTTTTTTTATTTCGTTGGCGCCAAAGCCCCGTTGAGTTTCGCCGATTTAGCTTTTGCTGTGCCCCACCAATCCAACCACCTCCCCGCCGACCCATTCACTCACCCACCCACCCATTTACTCACACACCCACTCACCCACCCACTCACCCACCCACTCACCTACCCACTCACCTACCCACCCACTCACCCACCCATTCACCCACCCACTCACCCACCCACTCACTCACCCACTCAACCACCCACCCACTCACCCACTCAGCCACCCACCCACTCAGCCAACCACCCACTCACCCACCCACTGACCCACCCACTCACCCACCCACCTACGCACTCACCCACCCA